AAAATAAACGGAGAAGAGACAAAGCAAACAACAAAATATTTTTACTCACTGCCGAACCAGTTGCTGCCTGTCGTGCTCTTCTCTGCTGCAGTAACTCCTTCACTGTAATCTTTACTCTGACACCTTGGTACACCTTGGGCTTTCCTGAAAGAGTTTGGGGAAAAACACTTTGCAGGAAGGGAGAGCAAACAGCAAATCCAACATGATTTCAGTGTAGAGTTACCGTGATTAACTGGTCACTGTTTAGTCCCTTGCAATCACAGTTTACAGCCCTTTTGAAGGCCTGATATTCAAGCTTGTGACAAGCAGACACTTATGGAAAAGTTGGAGTTGATAATATTTAGCCACACATATTTTATTCTTCTCTATCTCCTTCTTCCCCCTGCCCTCCCTCCAGCTTTTCTAATACCGAGCTCCATCTGCTGCTGCTGTTGAGTTTATTTAAATTCCTAACATACTTGCCTCTCTCAGGACCTGAAAATAAATGTGGGAAGCACTTCATCTGGCAGAGGAAGACCAGGAATAAAACAATGGAAATATGTGGGTGGTTATGCAGAGGGCTGAACAAAACACAAATAAAATGACTGCTTTCACGAATCACTTCTTGCAAAGCCTAGATTGTCTCTTTACTTTGGCCATGTACAACTCCCATTGACTTCAAACAAACATTCAGGATGTCTTTAATCCATCTGAAAACAATCAGCAATCACCAGGCACTACCTGATGGGGGATTTTTAGGGAATGGCAAGGAATTTAGTTATTCTGAAAAATCCCTTTCCCTTGCTGTATTCATGGTAAAATACTTAAACCTGGGGCAGTTGTTTTAATCCGAATCACATGACAAAGGGGCACCAAGCCCAGGCCATTCTCTACACCCAAAAAAAAGCCAGAGCAGACAGCCCTGAAGGAGCAGGAGTGCCAGGGCTAAAGCTGGCCTTCCAGTGCCACCTCTGGACGGGGACCAGCACCCTCTCCCAGGCAGTCACCAGCTGCATGGTGCCAGCAGGTCCTGGCAGGAGGACAGGGCTGGATTTGCAGGTTCTGCCCCCACACCCAGGCAATCCCACGCTGTGGGCACTGTTCCCTCCTGCCACAGCCTCTCCCAGTGCCCAGGGGATGCACGGGGTCCTGCCCAGCCCTCCCAGTGCCCCCGTGGTGCTCGGGGTGGGGACAAGCTGTGACAGGCACACGGGTCCCTCCAGAGAGGCGACAGCTGAGCTGGGGCTGCCTCGGGGGCACTCTGCTGGGCCGTGCTCAGCTGGGGATTATTCATCTCATACTTTTGATGTTTTGCTTCTATCCAACAAACAGCAGATGGGGAAGACGAGGGGAGGGAAGGGATGAATTTTAGGAGAACACCCGGGTTACCAGGCCTCCCTGGAGCCAGAGGGGGCTCTGAGGCAGCAGCTCTCCTGGCAGAGCATTATGCCCCCAGGATCTTGCTTTTCTGGCACCCTGAGGCACCTGCCTGCAGGTGAAGCACCCAGA